CCCATCAGAGTAGTGGAGACTAATAGGCAGAGTTCTCCAGGTCAGTCAAGTGCAACACAAGGGCAACCAGGGAGGTTCTCCCCTTCTCCATGATGCCACCTTCCCATGGACCATTCCCGAACTCAGGCAGGGTTAAGTAGCTCTAGGCCAACCCTGCACATGCCCCTGCAGCCCATCTGGCTGGGGCCTGATGCTCAAAGTTCGCCCACAAGGCTTCTGCCTGGATCCCAGTCTGACATCTCAGCACCACCAGTACCTGGGGCCTGCTCAGCTCTCACCCTTTCCTGAACCAAGCACGAGGGACCTGATGATCAGCCCCAACCCAGGGATCATATGCTGCCACTTGTCACACTTGTTCTGATTGGACCATACAGTGATTTTTTTTTAAAAATGGAGATATAATTCCAATACCATACAATGCACCCTTTTAAAGTATACAATTCCAATTGGTTGTGTTGTGCTACCATCACCTCTATCTAGTTCCAGAACATTTTCATCATCCCAAACAGAAACCCTGTATCCATTAAGCATTTTCTCCCCATTTCCTCTCACCCCAGCCCCTGGCAACCACTAATCTACTTTCTGTCTCCATGAATTTGCCAACTCTGGACTTTTATATAAATTCTGCTTTCAAGGTTAGCATCATGTATTTTAAAATGTGGTTTGAAATGTTTTAATATAATAATCACTAATAGCGCTCCCCTGGAGCCAGGTGTTGTGTTAACACCTTTCCTACCGCATACAAATCTCTAAGACAAATGCCAGGGATCACACGCTTTTGGGCAAACTGAACATTATTTAAATCATCATAACTACAGATCATAATGCACTTTAGGTGTTGTTACAAAAACCATTAAACAATTAAACAACTAATTAAACAATTAAAGTTCCTAGTACTTTAACGAATGGTACTGTGTAAAACATTTTCCTCTATGAAGAGGGACCAAACAAAATTTACATAAGTATCTAGATTCGCTCCTTTTTCCATGGGCGTTCCTTTTTCCTACAGGCTCTCTTAGGAAATTTTTTCTTTCCACTCGCTGGAATACACGTAGGTTCATGCTGCTTCATATCACCTGACAACCTTTTGAGAGGATCTTTACGGGGTTCTCTCCTTGTATCCCCAGGGGAAGGGCTGGACAGATTTGAGCAAACTTGTGAGCGGTCCTTAACAGATGCGAAACACGAGAAAACTCGTGAGCGGTGCGAAAGGTGTTAAGCACTTTATATGTTTCTACTCACTGGATCCTAATAACAACCCCATGAGGTGGATAGTGCTGTTGAGGAAACTGAGGCAGCAAGCGGTTAAGTGAATTGCCCAGAGTCACAGTAGCACTAGACAGGCGTGCTATAAAGCTGTGGCCACCTGTAAGCTGGGCCTCTCTTTTTATTTTTTTTTTGCCCAGGCTAGAATGCCGGGGTGTCAGTCTAGCTCACAGCAACCTCAAACTCCTGGGCTCAAGCAATCCTTCTGCCTCAGCCTCCTGAGTAGCTGGGACTACAGGCCCGGCTAATTTTTTTCTGTATATATTTTTAGTTGGGCAATTAATTTCTTTCTATTTTTAGTAGAGATGGGGGTCTCACTCTTGCTCAGGCTGGTTTCAAACTCCTGACCTTGAGTGATCCTCCCACCTTGGCCTCCTAGAGTGCTAGTATTACAGGCATGAGCCACCATGTCCAGCCCAGCTGGGCCTCTCTTAAGGGTACAGGCACTCGGTTTGCCAGCCCACTCACCACTTGTTCTTGGCCACTTCTCACATTTCTATACCTGCCTGATGCCTGAAGGTATCTGTGTTCATGATCCCCGCTTTGGTAATTCAGGTGAACCTGAGTTCAAATCCAGTTCTATCAGAGACTGTGATATCAGGTAAATTCCTAAACCTCTCTGGACCCCATGTTTTCAACTGAGAAATGGGTTACCACCCAGTTGTTTTTCAAGACTGTTTGCAAAGGACCGTTATGGACATCAGGAGGTGGTATGGGTCACAGTGCCAACGGTCTAGGGTAAATGCAAGTGAAGCACTGAGGGCCTGGCACATGCAGGCATTGAAGAAATGGTGCCCTGGTTATGACTACTACCCACCCACACTACTGACAGTCTTCTCCGAGCTGCTCAAAAGAACAGCTTCCCATTGCTGGAGGCACATGCAGGTGACATACCTGTTCTCGGAGAATTTTTCAGAACTAGTAAAATGCACAATAGATGGAAAACCCGTCTGTAATCAGAACAAGGATCAGTTGTTAACTGCCCTTTAAACTCCTGGGAGCCTAAAGCCAGACTCTACTTGCCAAGAGCCTGCAAGGATTTCACTAATCATGCTCGAAGGTTCTTTTGTGTGCTTTCTGAGGCCTGCTGTGGTTTCTCAGTTACACCCCACTACTGAGGACCAGGACCAAGACCAGGACCAAGAATAAAGTGGCTCTCAGGCCTTCCCAAGGTATCATTTTAGGACTCAAGGAGAATCTGTCGGTGCCTGGAGCACCTGCTGTGAGTTCATTCATTCTGATACAGCAGCTCTGAGACTAACTGCCAGGATCCAGGAGGAGATGGCCAATGCAAAAATCTTGTCATCTTATTTTGGATAAAAGATCCAGAAAACTGGGTCCCTACCTTGAAATAAAAGTTTCTGCTGGTTTAGCTTTCTTCATTTAAACAAAAACAAATCACTGGGTAAGCCTTATCTGGGTTGAATCTTGGCTCTATCTCTTCACAGGTATGTGACCAGGGTCCAGGGTCCCCTCATTTGGAAGGCAGCAATAATACCTAAATGCAAAATTGTTGAGACCATTTCAAACAATATATGTAAAGTACCTGGCACACAGCAAGCATTCAGGGGATGATAGCTGGTGACAAGGCTGCAGATCTAAGAGTGACATATGCCTGGTCCCCTCAAGACACTTTTGTAATTTTTAGGTGATACATGGATGAGCAAACAGAGGTTCAGAGAATTCATTTTCCTAAGGCCACTAAGTGGTAGAAGTGGGGCCGCCTCCAGGTATGAAGGCATTATAACTAGTGCTTAAAGGCAGCAAGTGTGGAGTCAGACAAGCCTGGGATCAAATGCTAACTGCCAGTTAATCACTGTGTGGCCTGAGATCAGTTACTTCACCTCTCTGTGCCTCCATTTCCTCATCTGTAAAATGGTTGCACTGGTTCTCAGTCTCCTCCACCACCTCCTAAATCAACCAGTATAACAGACAACAGTGAAGACCTGAGACCTACTCATTTATATTCCTCACCTCAATGTGCATACCATGTTGAAGACTTTCAGAAGATAGTCTTAAAGGGAGTACCATTTTTCTAACTTTTGTTTTGATTCCACTTTCAAAAATTCCATGTCATTAGATGCAAGTCAATCAAGTGATCATACTTTTCCCCATAAAGGCATCGTAGACAAAATAAACATTCTATCCCCAAAGGGAAAAATGAGAAAAAAATTCAAAAACTCTTTACCCCTGCAACTTGTTTTATTTTGCTTCACGGCACTAACAATACATTATATAGATTTTGACGTTTGTGCTTCCTTTCTTTCCCCCACCAGAACATCAGCTCCACGAGGACACCTTTGCAGAATGTTGAATGGCCCTTCTTGTATGGACTCCAGGAGTGTTGCCCACATGAAAAATATTTCTGCATCTTTTGCAAAACTACCTTGGCTAGTACCGTCCACTGTTCTCCAGTGTTCCTTTTTTTTTTTTTTTTTTTTGAGACAGAGTCTCGGTTTGTTGTCCAGGCTAGAGTGAGTGCTGTGGCGTCAGCCTAGCTCACAGCAACCTCAAACTCCTGGGCTCGAGCGATCCTTCTGCCTCAGCCTCCCGAGTAGCTGGGACTACAGGCATGCGCCACCATGCCCGGCTAATTTTTTTATATATATATCAGTTGGCCAATTAATTTCTTTCTATTTATAGTAGAGACGGGGTCTCGCTCTTGCTCAGGCTGGTTTTGAACTTCTGACCTTGAGCAATCCACCCGCCTTGGCCTCCCAAGAGCTAGGATTACAGGCGTGAGCCACCGCGCCCGGCCTCCAGTGTTCCTTTATGTGACATAAATCTTACTAGACTCAGTAGTAGGACAAAGTTTGTTTTTTGCTGAGCTCATGTCTTTCACCAGCTGGATTTGTTTTCATTGTCAGGAAGCACAATTCTGGGCTCAATTACAGTGTTTTCCTTAATCCCTTTTTCTGATGTGGACATGGGATATAAATGTCAGAAGATTCTGTTTGATGTTTAAGACCCTATTTTTAACCACAGCCTTCATTTATTCTAAGAAAATGCTTCTCAAACTTGACTGTGCCTGCAAATTACCCGGGAATCTAGTTAAAATGCAGAATCTGACTCAGTAGGTCAGGGGCAGGGCGTGAGATGCCGCATTTCTAACAAGTTCCCAGGTGATGTCTATGCAGCTGGACCCCGGACCACATTTGGAGTAGCAGAGGGTCTAATAAACTTGCTCCCTTGTTTCAGCAGAATTTCTCTGTCCCCCTCCTTGGCAAAATATGACCAAAGTCTCAAAAAATGGAGCGGACACCAGAAGTATTTAGGGAGCTGGTCAGACCTACACATCGCCGCCCCCCCCCCACCGCCCCTTCCCCGTCAGGATCCGCAGGAAAGGGGGTAGGAATCTGCTCAGGAAACTCCTCAGGTGCTCCTGCTGTAGGTGGCCTAGAGCAAATTTTGAAAATGACAGGTCTCTTCAAGGTGTTCTCAAAGGTAAACTCTTGTGGACACCTGCTTGTTCAGGATTTTAGCGGGTGCTATCCCGCTGTGTCTAGCCCAGCATCAGGAAGAATCCCATCCTTCCTCTCCCGCAACTCAGACCGCAGCGGGGACTGCCCTCGTGGGCTCAAGGCTCGGACTCCCGCCCCTCTGCCTGAAAAGCCCGGCCTGCTGCGGCCTCCACCGCAGGCCCGCGAGGCTGGGGCCGCGCCGCTCATGCGCAGAGCGCTCCCCCGCCCTCGGCCCGCAGGGCGGGGTCCCCGCGCGCCCCTCGCCCGCCTTACCTCTCTGGACCAGGGTGGCCAAGGAGAAAGCGAGGCAGACGAGGAACGCCGAGCGCCAGGCCATGGCTGGGAGCAGGCGGAGCGCTTCCAGAGGAGCACAGTTAGCGCTAGAGCGCCCAAGGTGGGGAGAGCCCGAGGAGGAGCCCGGACGGAGTGTAGCCCTACCGCCACTGCAGGGCCGCGCCCAGAGCCGGCGCACGCGCGCAGCGCGACCCCGGGAGGGCGGAGGGAGGGCGCGCGTGTGGGCCAGCGCCTGGGGGCTCCCGACTGGGGCGAGGCTGAGGGCGGGGCCTAGGCCTGGGGACCAGGACACTGGATGAGGGGCGGGACTGGCGCTCGAGGCGGGGCCCGCGGGCACCAGGTGGGTTGGGCCTTCTGGGTTGGGTCTGGCACCAGCTCCTTGTCTGCAGACCGGGTCCCATGCAGGCGCTCAGAGCTGGCCCCCGCGAACCCCGAGCAGGGAGTCTCCAGTAGCCGTGAAGCCGGAGGCGGCCGCGGCGAGGGTGCTCGCTGATTTCCACTGGCGCGCCCGATTCCTCCTGGCCCGAGGCGGGACCCAAGGCGGCACCCACGCCAGCTGCGCCTGCCAGCCGGGTGACCTTGGACAGGGCTCGTCCCCATTCTTGCCTTGGTGTTCTCGCGGTGAAAAGCTGTTCCCTAGAGACCCTTGCAGCTGCGGCTCTAGTACCAAGCATCCGTGCTCTTGCCCCCTCCCCTCCCTTACCTGCTGGCAGCAGTAGTGGAACCCTGTCAGGAGACTAAAGCAAAGGGCAAACAGCGGCAAGTCTTGGGGAAACAAGGCTGAGGCCAGGGACACCGGGGCAGGCGGGGGCGCAGGGGTGGCGGGACGGCCGGGGTCCGGAGCGCCACGGGCTCCAGAGACTCAAGGGTGGGACTGGGTCGGCTCTCCCTAAGCTTTGATGAATGCGCTGAAAGTGCAAGTTCACATCTGCAGGGTCGATCTGAAAGACATGCTTAATGACTGACAAACGCGCTGCAGTCCTTTCCCATGAACCTCTGCAAACGGAGTCCGTCTCCCAGACCTGAAGAAATCAGATTCCAACACTAACTGGACCAGCAAGATGCAGCCTTTGACGTGAACGCTCCCCAAAACAACCCGGGCTGCTACCAGCTTTTGAGGACAAAGAGGAAATGCTGCTACTCTTCAGAGTGGCAGTGTGCGCCTGTCCCTGCCATTAGGCGGCATAGGCTGCCCTGGGCCACATCCTCCTTAGCCAGCGGCTACTACTACCTCACCCCAGTATTCGTTCAGCAGCCCCCCATCTGCCAGCACCAGCCTGCTGGAGGCCCCCCAGTGGCTCCTGCCGACCCCTCAGCCGTAGCGTGGGGCGGGGGGCTCGTTGAGATGGAGCGGAGATTTTTCCCTTGTGATTTACATCTACTGCCTGAATCCTGGGGCTGCAAAACCAAAACAGCATCTAAGGAGTGGATCTTCCCATTTTCCGGGCATTGCTTATTCTATGGCACTAACTAGCTGGAGAATTAACAGAAACAGCTGGTGGTTATTGAACACACACTATATATACATGAAATATTCCAGGCACTTTGCCTTTGTTATTTCTCATAATGGCCTTATATGTCGCCTAATAACCAGGGGAAAGGAGCAAAATGGAGATTCCTTGAGGTTAGAGAGTTAGCCAGGTCCAGCCTCATAAGTGTCAAAGGGAGCAGAGGATCACTAGGAACCCCAGCGGGTAAATGGATAAGAACATGTGCTTTAGAGCCAGACCAGGTACAAATCTTGGCTAGATCCAACAAGACTGTGCTAGGGGTCAAATGAGATGGTGGAAGGTAGGTGGCCTGGCACACAGTCAGGGAGGCGGATGTTACTTGTTAATCTTGTAACAGCTAAAGAAATATTGGCCACTGTAAGGGTGGGAGGTTACTGTGTATTCCAGGCTGGGGACATGTCCCCAACTTTCCCACTAAGTCTGAGTGCCCTGAGCCATTCCCTTGCCCTCTACTAGGAAGGCGCTAGATTTCCTGGACGTTGAGAGCCCTTTAGACTCTGATGGTTGAACCCTGGAGCGTATACTCTCATCTACAAGGAGGAGGTGAGGAGAGTACAGCCTCTAAGTTGAGGCCACCTCAGTCAACATACAGTGGACATAGTCACACCCAACTGGAATGTGCAATATGACCATCTTCTAGATGAGGGGAAGTTCACAAACTGCAGTCCATGGACCAAATCTGCCCCCAGCCCCACCTGTTTGTACACCCTTTTAGCTAAAAGTAGTTTTTGCATTTTTACATAATTGAAAAAAATCATATAACATGGCAAAGTTATACAAAATTCAAATTTCAGGGTCCATGAAGTTCATGGGAACCCAGCCACATCTATTTGTTTCTGTATTTCCTGTGGCTGTTTTTTCGCTACCAGGATGGAGTTGAATAGTTGCAACAGAGACTATGGGGCCCACAAAGTCTAAAATATTTACTATCCAGCTCTTTACAGAAAAAGTTCGCTGGCTGGGCGTGGTGGCTCATGCCTGTAATGCTAGCACTCTGGGAGGCTGAGACGGGAGGATTGCTCGAGGTCAAGAGTTCGAAACCAGCCTGAGCAACAGCGAGACCCCGTCTCTACTATAAATAGAAAGAAATTAATTGGCCAACTAATATATATATAGAAAAAAATGAGCCGGGCATGGTGGCGCATGCCTTATAGTCCCAGCTACGCAGGAGGCTGAGGCAGGAGGATCGCTTGAGCCTAGGAGATTGAGGTTGCTGTGAGCTAGGCTGACACCACAGCACTCACTCTAGCCTGGGCAACAAAGCGAGACTCCGTCTCCAAAACAAAAAAAAAGTTTGCTGACCTCCATCCTAGTAGATTGAACCATGGCAAGGATGTATATTAATTAACAGGTGATAATGTGGGACCTAAAGAGTGTGCTCCTCTAAAACACAGCATGAACTCAGAAGATAACCTGCTTTGATACAGGAATAAGAACCAAGAGAAAAGGACAATCTTTATTATTGTGGCCAAAGGATGCCCACTCAAAAAAAAAAAGTTTAATAGAAATATTGCAAATGTTTGAGATCAGTTATCCTACCAGATACCTCTGCCTTTGTAAAATGACTCATCGGAGTCCTGGTTGTCTCTCAGTCTCTTGTAAGTTAGGTTAATGTTAGTCAGATGGCCCGTGTGCCTGCCAGACTGAGGACCTGCCTGGGGCTCTGTGAGCCTCCCAGTCAGATACCGCTAACCCTGCTGAATTGCAACTGAACAGTGTAAGGCTGGTGGCAGGGGCCCCCTCCCCTCCCTAGATGGAAAAAGAAAACGCTTAGTGACCTGACCTGCCAAGGACAAACTGCCAGGCCCCACTGAGAGGAACCACACCCAGATCTCCACCTGGATTCGCTCCTGGATTCCACAATACCTCCAGACCCTTCCAAGGTCACAATAGAGAATCCCAGCTCTTCCCGCCACAAGTCCCTAGCCCCGCCCAAAGGGTATAAAAGGCCTCAGCCCCTTCAAACTGCAGCGACTTCCAGGCCCCCGCTCTTGGGGCCCCAGAACCTCATCCACGAGTGTATAATAAAGCCACGTGGTTTGGCCCCCCTACTCTTTCTCTTTCTGTGTCTCTTTTCTTTTCGCCACCACCGAAAAACCTTACAAACAGGGAGTTGACTTACAGAAAATTCTGCACTTAGAAACCATGATCTGTGTGCGACCCCCCCCCATACACACACATACTCCCACTGCCAATGGACATGGGTTCTGGGACTAACTCCTGGCCAAGCCTGCCTTATCTACAGATGACCACCTAGTTACCTTCCTCTTGGTATACCTAGTCTCTCCCTGAACTTCTCATGCCCTGAAAATTGCCACGAATTGAAAAACCACTTGGTCTGACAAACTCCTCTCTTAAAATGTCCACCTTTTCCCAACTTTGGCCCAAGCAGAGAGGGGTAGCATGCAAATGGTCACCAGGCTAGCCTGTGAGTACAGGAGAGGCACAGATTCCAAATAGCTACTGTAAGGCTGGTGGCGGGCCCCCTCCCTTCCCTGGATCAAAAAGAGAAGACTCATGAGACCAGACCCGCCAAGGACAAAGCTGTCAGGCCCTGCTGAGAGGATCCACACCCAGATGTCCACCTAGATAAGAATGTTTTGGCTCCTGGATTCCACAAACACCTCCAGCCCCTCCTAAAATCCCCAGCTCTTCCCGCCAAAAGTCCCTAGCCAGGCCCAAAGGATATAAAAGGCCTCAGCCCCTTCAAACTGCGGCAGCTTCTGGGGCCCCTGCTCTTGGGGCCCCAGAACCTCGTCCACGAGTGTATAATAAAGCCACGTGGTTTGGCCCCCCACTCTTTCTCTTTCTGTGTCTCTTTTCTTTTCACCACCGCCGAAAAACCTTACAGCTACCTGTTATCTCTCAGTCCTGGGCCTCAGCAGCCTGCCAGAACATACGAAGTCCCACTGCCATCACCAGCACAGAGTTCCTGGTCTTGCTCCCAACTGACATAAAACCCCTCCTAGCGAAGTCCCCACCCTTGGTATTGCGGGGAGTTCCGAAGGGGGCCTTCCTCACCCAAGGCCAAAATAAGCCCCACCCAGGGCCCCCACCACTGCTGAAGGAGAGCACCATTGTCCATGGTGACAGTGCCCTTTCCTAATATCCCACTGTTGCCACCACTGATCCTAGGGGACCAGAGCTGAGAGGGAGTCCACATGGGGGGGGTGAGGGCAAGGACAAGGTCTTGTCCCTGGGTCACTCTGTGTCCCCTGGGGCCCAAAGCAGCTCAGCTGGTGCTCAGGCTTCAGCAGACCTTCCTTCTGCTTCCTCTAACCTCTAAGCCTTGGCCTTAATCCTCTAACCAAACCTGTTTGACAGCCCAGACTGGGAAGGGGGTGGGAAAAGGACAGAACACTCTCCCTTCCCACTGGACTCCACACAGTGCTGGCCAATTAAGAGACAAAGACTCCCTGCATATCAATGGGAATGAGAACTGCTCTGGCCAGCTGGGGGAGGGGCACTCAGGGCTCTATGAAAATTTCTCCAAATGCCTGACTTCACACTCAAGTTTCACCAGTCCCGGGAGAAATAAGAAAAATGAGGTTGTTGTGGCAAGTTTTCCCCCATAAAACTAGAGTATTGACCTTTATTCTGAAATCATGCATTTTTTTTATACAAAAGTCCTTTATTTCATGAAAAGATGGTAGTGTTTTATTTAATGTGCTTCTTAGCAAAATAAAAAATTGGCAACCCTACCCGTCCTCAAATTAAAAAAAAAAAAAATCTACTCATTGGTGAAATTAACGAGTCTGGGAACCACTGGCTATCCCAGCAATATTCAGCCCACCCAGGGCCCTGACACATAGGAATTTTTGGAACACACCCCATATGTAAACAGAAGCCCTGAAAATGGATTCTAAAACAATGTTCCCTCTGATATTTGAGTTGTAAG